GAAAATTTCATTATAGCTTCACAACCTGCCAAAGCTAGGAAGAGGTTATTTCATTTTCTCTTTCCTTACTGTCTTTCAATTTTTTAGCCCTAGCCTGGGCTGCAAAACACCAGATCCAAATCTCAAAAATTCTGGTTCATCCAAGTAGTAGTCAACTTATTTCTCATCTGACTCTTTATTCTATACTTTATTTCTCCTATAACTAACATATGCAAATAGGTAAAATCCTATTACAAATTCATTAAAATAAAAAAATACTTAAACTTTTTCTTTATTCTGGTATACTAAAGTACCATTACTAAAAGATTTTTAAAATACTTATTTTTGTCAATTTAAACATATTAATTTAAGGTGATTCATACTTGTAGTAGAGATGGAGTTAATGTATTTGTATGAAGCCAAGCACAAATTATTGTCAAATGATGTTCCATGTTTAAAAGAAAAAAAAAAAATCAATTTTAAAAAGATTGCTTTCAGTTTGAAGCAATGTAAAACATTCTTGAAAAACAGTGGGAGTTAATAGTTACATATTTTATAAGCCAGTTGCTTATAAAAGTCTTAAATCTTAAACAACTCCACAACTGTCATAAGTGTGGCTTAAGAAAGTAAAATTAAAGTTAATAAATGTCATTTTATACTGTATTCAAGAATTCTACCAATTCTACACATTTAGTTCTGTTGAAATGTCTTTCTTTTCTGTTTATTAAATCCAAACAAAAAACCTTTAAGCAACCATTTAAGCAATTTGAGTACGAATTGCTAACTACAATGAAAAATTAATCTACTACATTTTATAGCAGTCCTCCAATACAAATATAATCCCTCTTTGAACCTTATCACATTTAAGATCTGAATCTTAATAAAACAACCTCATCTTTATCAAATCATCTGAGGATTGAGGATGACAAGAATATATGCAGCTATTTACATTTGAAAATACAGACAATTTGTGTGTGTACCTCCACAGAAAACCTGATAATTAAAGTTTAAAATAAATTTTTAAGAACAAAAAATTTTTCTTGAAGTATTTATTTTAATTTCACGCTAATAGATTAAATTCAATATTTCCAATAAGAAAATACTTTGCTGCATTTAAAAACTAATTTAAAATAACTGGAAGGATTTTTTTTTCTAAAATAGCTGAATAGCACCCTTTTTTAGTCTTCTTTCATAGCAATATAATTCTTTATTAAAAAAAATCTTCCAAAAATAAAATATATTTTTCTGAAACTTTATTTGAGGAATATTAACTGATTCAAAGTATAATTAATCTGATTTGAAACAAATATTATTTACTTTAAGTTTAAAATATTGCAATTATATTATATTAATAATTTCATTTGTGAATAAATCCTGAAAATTTCATTAAAATCCAACATTGATTTTTGTAAGAATTTCTGAATCAATGTGTCTTTTACTGTAAACCCCCCCCCCAAAAAAAACACTAAAATCTCCTACACGGGGGTATAGTAGGATAGTTGTTCTACATTAATGCAATTTATCTGTTATAACTCTCCCGGCACAACCCACAATGGAACTTGCCATCACTTTTCCTGCATTTTGTTCTTCTGAACATCTTTAATTATGGCTCAAATTGTTCAATGGTTGAAATCACCTGGGACTGTTCAGTCCAACTCATTCTAGAAATGTCCTAAAAAATGACAGCGATTCTGGCTGTTAAATGTGTTTGGCTAATGGGTGACATTAGTTATCTATATGTAAGAAAACTGTAAGAAAGAATACACAATGGCAAAAGCAGCAGAGCCTTAAGCAAAAGAAAAAGATCAAGTGTGGAACAATTAGTAGGCAGGATTAATAATGTCTAAGCCATTTTAGTATTGATCAAACCTGTTCAAAATGCCAATGATTCATCATAATTACAAGAATAATGGTAAAAATAAATAACTCCTCATGAAATTATATTGCTCAAGTCAGCTCTAAATATAAAACTTGTAAAGATTGGCATCATTTGAAATTTTGAGATGATGATTATCCTTCTGTTAATTAAAGATGAAAATTTCAGTCTAAACAACTCATGAAATATTGATTAAATTCACTTTATACCAAGGCCTTTAGCATGAAATACATTTAAGAAAAAACTTTGAAGTACCAAAAGAAAAAGAGACCTTAAATTCTAAGCAGAAAATAGGAAATTTAACAGGCAATTGGACAATTTTTAACAGTTTCTGAGAACTTACAGAGAAGAAAAAAAAAAATCAAGCTTTGTCACTTTAACTTTGAACCTGAGATAAAGTAATTGATAATAAAGTGAAGAGAATAACTTCCAGCAACAACACCTACATGATAACCTGATGGGCTTTCTTGATAACTAGTGCATCAGCTTCAGGCAAGAAACTCTCCACCGGACTGGTGAGTATATTGTCCGTGGTCATGTCAGCAGGGTTGCAGTGATGCAAGCTCTCATTAGGGCAGGGCAGAGTAGCAGCAGCAACAGCAGCATATTTGTGGTTAGTAGAAAGAGGACATGCAACATTGGGAAGCTGTCTATCATGCAGGCTGTTTGGTGTCAGTCGTTCCCTTGAGCGAGGAGACGACGACACACCATTAACTGGAAGCACATCTGCTGTTCCGGCATGCCGGACACTAAAACAAAGCAAAAAGAAAAAGCTGCAAACTAACTGAGCAAGTCATGTGGTAAACCACATCAAGTGAAAGAGAACAAACAACACAAAATGGTCAGTTAGCTGAAAGCTTTCAAAAAGCCCTGAAGAAAAAAAAAAAACTTTCCCAAGAAAACTTTGGAAATTTGAGAGAAGAAAAAAATTAAGCCAAAAAAGAAGTAACTGTCTATTCCCTTTCTTTAAATGTAGTTGCATTACAGCTTGTACAAGAGAGTTTAAAGCCAAATTAATCTTTTCTAATGCAGACCACATAATGTTTCCATTTTCAAGCTGTAAAATATTGACTTCAAAAAATGAAAAAAATTAAAATTTATAACACAAAAAGCACATGCATCATAGGTTAGTGAAAAAAAAAAAAAATGAAAAAGCATTAAAAAAAAAAAAAAAAAAAATAATTTTTTGTTTATCATTAATTAATAGCATCAACAAAGCCATCAGGTTTTAAGATTTTATTTATAGTAGGATTCATTTGAAATGATATTATCTTGGATTAAAAGATAATTCAAGCAGAGAGACATCAAGTAGCAAAGAATACAGGAGTCTTGACTCTGTAGATTATATGATATAGTAAATCTGAGTAGGTCATTATGTACTAATTAATATTACCTGCTTATAAAAAGCAAAAACAATATCTGGAATTAATCATAAATGCCAACCAATGGCTTCATATGACTAATTAAAACTGTCCTAATTGTAAGAGGAAGGCAGGTCTGCAAGTTTCTAGCATTTGTTTGGAATTGAGGCCACACCTAGTAAAGCAGATCAGCTCTGACATTTCTTTTGACTTCAAAAAAAAAAAAACGCTTAAATTTCATTTATAATAATAATAAAAAAAAAAAAAAGATATGTTGCTTCAATATCAAAAAGTAACATCCACGTGACATCATGAGTAGCAGTATATACTCTGAATATACATGAAACAGTCAAAAAAAAAAAAAAAAAAAATTCATACCAACCTCTCATTCATAAAGAGAAATCAACTCACTCAAGAATAAAAAAACATTAGCTATACTTGACGCATACTTAAAAACAAATATGACTAATACCAAGTAAAAATAATTGTATCTGAAATGAGATGAAATTTAATTCATGACTACATTTATGTGCAGTTCAGTTTTAAAAAAGGACTACAGTAGCTAAAGAGTTGACATATGAATTAGAAATATTAACTGGTTTTATCGCAACAGATAATATTTAAGTAAGCATATTTAAGTCATTTTAATAATCAAACATAATCTTTCATGTACCAAGTCCTTTCATAGTATTTTCAGCATTCATCAAAAGAATTTTTATCTATTTTCCCATATCTAAGTATTTTGCTTAGGTTCTGATACACATCTTTCACTATGCCTATGCTACTTCAGATTTGTCTATCAGATTTTCTGTTGTCTGTGACTATACTGCCCAGAGCCCAACCCTCTACAGGTCTAGAGAAGAATGGGCTTCACCAGGTCTACTTATGCATGAATGAAGCTTTCAACCCAGAGGGAATTGGTCAGGTGTACAGCTGCGCAGCAACCCCATAACCACGCTCAATCATAGGCATAGTGAAGATGATGAATGATGATAATACCCAGATAATTGAATTTCTCTACCTGCTTGAATTTGACATCCCCAATATGTATCTTATATCTTAGACTGTCTCTTTTACTGACAACTATGTCTTCTTAAGTTAATAATCTTTCTTCTTGCTTTCCATTACTACCTTGCCTAAGAGTTCTTTCAGTTTCCTTTCTATCACAGTAGACTGATGATAGGTTCTTACTAATAAAATATTATGCAAAATATTAACCAAATTGAAATTACATTCAATGATGAAAAAAAGAATGTATTATTTAACAGGATTTGGTTCTTTGTTTAAATTATAAGAGGTTTATTTCATTTTTTATTGTTATTGTCTCTGAGAATTCAAGCAAGATTTGGAGTATCAATATACAAACACATACAATAAAGGCTTGTTTTATGTTAAACCTGCTTTCCATCCATTAAGAACTATTAGTTTTATTTTTAACAATTCTGTAATCGTTTTTAATACAAAAGAGAAAAAAAATGTTAGAAAAGTTGCTAATTAATTGAAATATGATTATTTTGGATATTTATTGCAGTTGATTCCTATCCAAAATTTAAATTCCTTCAGACTAAGTACATTTCAATTTTAGAGAACTAACAGTGAAACCAGAAACATCCACATATTTAGAATAAAACATATGTTAATTCAAAAATTAAATAAAAATATTATGATAATTCTATATAAAAACATTTTATTAATAAAGTCAGTTTTATGCGAAAATTGGGATCTAAGATTTACAAAATATTTAAAGAAAAGAACAATGTGAGTAAAACCAAGGTAGAGCTTACCTCTCCAAACTGTTAAATAATTTATTTCCTAAATTACCACAGCATGTCCTTTGTAAATCTGACCTAAAAGGAAGACAAAACACAAACTTTTTACAATAATTGATGAAATAGAATTGTTTAAATCACTAAAATTATTTGTCACATTAATTGATGCCAATGCTAAGATAAAATAGGAATATTTACAATTATATTTTATTAAACTGATTCATCAAAATCCAATGGGGAATAATTACAATACAAAAATTAAATACAGAAAACTTTAAAATGCACAGTTCACATGGCAAATTTCTCTGAACTTGCCAAAAATTATAATTTTACAGAAATTCCTCCATTTCTAATAAAAGTAGCATTATAAAACTGCTACAAAATACATACCTTAGTAAATTATCATTAAGTTTACCATTGTCTCGATAATGTGGATATGATGTGGTATCATGCTTGATCACAGGTTTATCATGGCTTCCTAAACAAAATATGAAAGAATGTACAGCACAAGCTTTATATAGTAAAAGCTTAATAAAAGTACTCAAAAAAATGAATAAAGAAAATCAGGATCAAATTTTGAGGAAATAGTCCTTTATCCTTTCTTTAGAAGAGGTAAATATTTGAAAGCATTTAAATAAAAATAAAAATTGTTCTATGCTTCTTTGTAAAACTTTTTTTTAATTTAAAGGAGAGAACCAACAGAAATTTACATATTAAAAAAATATCAGAATTTTTGTTAAACAAGTTTTTCTAATCAGTGTATGCGGTTGATTTAAACTAATTTTTCCATCATTTGTTTCTCAACGTTTTGGCTGTTTATCCTGGGGCAGTATGACAAGATTTATGGTCTAAAATTTCCTAAATTCCATGCTATATTTAAAATGCTATCAAACCCCACAAATGTTTACATTGTTACCAAAAATACATGTTCGGGACCACACTCCACAAAAAGCCAAAAGAAAAGTCATTATTATCAAAAAACACGCAATAAATCAATGCAAGAAGTAACAAACTTTCTTATATAAACCTGCTACCAAAAAGTGAGGACACTGAGACAAAAAGTCCAGAATAATTTTCCTGCTAAAAGATCATCCACCAGACTACATAGAAAGATTAGTAGTTCTTTACTCTTTATAACCTTTTAAATTCTTCAATGTTTTCATTAAACAATGTTAGTTATCAACAGCTGGTTTATGCTGTGCAAATGATTTTCGACACAGACAAAAAGGTTATAATGGCTGCAAGGATTTCACACCCCAAATCTCCACAGAATCACTATGACTACTTGGCAAAATCCCTGTAGAGATGTGGTTACATCTCAAATGCAGTGCAGGGCCAAGCAGGTTATACTCTGACTCTCCTAAAGTGTCTATTCTGTTGTCATATCAACCAATCTAATTCTGTGAGATCATGTACATTCCATCCTACTATGGGTTATGTCTGATGCTTGTGGTTAAATATTCTTGGAATTGTCTTTTCCTGACATCTGTGCCAAACCCATAACCACTCATGCAACTTTGTATGCATTCCCATCTTTCATATCATGCCTTCAGAATAAGTTCAGCTTGTGCTCTTTCCTGATGATTGGATCCCACAAGATATTGATGCCTATTCTCATTATGTTGATGGGGCAATTTGAGCATAGTAGACATATGGCTTTTTTTTCCTCCAAGCTTTCATGAATGCTGCACACTGTAAATGCTAAAGAATACATGCATATACTAAGCTCAAATAATCTGACTAGCTGATCATAAAAAAAGTGTATACCAGTTGGGGCTATTGACATGAAAAATAATTTACTAGAATTTGGCAGTATGAAGAGGCATGAACAAAGGTATTACGGGGAATAGTCAGTGACAGTAAAAAGGAAGAAGAAAGCATGACTGGTGCTCATAATTTATTTTTCTAAGCTGGTGTGCAATTGAGATAGATATTGAAGGCAGTTGATGTGAAGACCGGAAAGAAAAAAGAGAAAAAAAAAAGTTTGACAAACTAAAGATCTTTTTTGTTATAAGAAATTGTTCTGTTTCAGTGTTTAAAGTGAAAAAGAAAAACATATGGAAACTGCTTCTGAATTCACACTAAAAATTACCAGAGAAAGCTGTTGGCTGGAAAAATTACAAGTATTTCTGAAACCCTCAGAGAACCATGTATGTTTTTTTAAAAAAAAAACCCATAAAAAACAAGGTTTCAAAAAGTCCAGAAGCATCTAGATTTTACCTTGTAAACAAAGACTTCTTTGTTCCAAATAATGGATTAACAAATGTCAATATATTTTAATTAGTTTTAAATTTTTCAGATAAAGGTTTTTGTGGAAAACGCTAAAACAGAAATTATTTTTGGCCATCATTTCCTGATTGACAAAGAGTGGATGCTAATTAGGCATAAGATACACAATCACGGTTTTCTATATTAGACCGCCAAGTCATAATGTAGAGAAGGGACAGAACTGGAGACCGGTTTTTAATCCAATGAGTGTAGCGGGGGGATTTTAGTTTCAGTTTAAGCTAACCACTCATCCAGTGTTGTTGGCTTAAGAAATTAAAAGAAATTGTTCCTTACATTTGGAATATCATTTACCTTATTTAATTGAAGTATAAAATTTATTTATTTTAGTCTCAGTTGCTATATTATTTTTCATGTAGATTATAAAAAACTTTTGGTCTGTAATTCATTATGCAAAAATGGTATCTAGGAATTATTTTGGTCTTGTCACTTTGAATTTTAAGTTTCTTGTTTAACATTTTCATTTAAAGTTTATTAAGGTTCTTCTATAAAAGAAAAAAAAATGGAAAAAGCAAACTCGTTTTGCTTTTCATGGAGTTTAGATTTTACAAAGGTTTTTTTTTATACTGCGAAATTTATCGATATAAAATTAAAATTTAGTTTAAATCTACCATTAAACATAAAATAGAAGTAAATGTAATATTTGTGTATTACAAAATGAATGAAAAAACATTTAAGAATGTTTTTACATAAATTTAAAGATATATAATTATAATTAAATTCTTTTATTTTTGATATTGTAAAAACACTGAGTGTGAATGAAATTAATCCTGCTGCTCAGTCATTTTTCCAGAGTCTTCTAAAGTTTTTAAAAAGTATAGTAAAAAAAGTTTAATAATCACTGACTCAACATTTTTCTGTTAAAAGTTTATTCAGTGTTCTTAAAACAGTTATATCATTTTGAATCTGAAAGACTAAACTTTTAGATTTAAATGAAAGTTTCTTTGCTCCAGAGCCCATAGAAAGATAATGAGTTTCTACTTGCCTCAGAGCGTTTTCAGGAAAAACATATAATGCACTTTTCACTCAATTTGAAATAAGTGTGGATAAGAAAGATACTTCATAAACAAAATTTTGACATGGTGAAAAATGTTAAATGTTAAGACCCTTCAAATTGATAAACTATGCAATGACCCTTTACAAGCTGAAACCGAATCTATGCATCTCAGTTGACTTGATTTTATCACTGAGTTTGGTCAAATGGCTCTTAATATGGCTGGTAGTCAAGGTAATCATATAAAACAATTATCCAAACACACTGCTACTACTATACACCATACTTGCAATGGAATTGTTAGTCCATGTTGACACCATTTAGCTACAAGCCATAAATATGTGCTACTTGGGCAATTTACAACTGATCTATTAAAAAAAGAATTTAGTAAACCTTGTCAAGGATCAGGTGACACGTATTTTATAAATGTCAAACAATGTATTGAAAACCTGCATAGATCTTTACTTTTTAAATCAAAATTTAAATATTGATGCTTTTGATGTTAAGCCAGGTCACCAATGTACATCTTGTGATTATAAACTTTGTAAGGAAATTTCAGAAATATTTGACAATTTGGAAAATTTAGAACCATCTCTTTCTGACAAAATAAAAATGGTTCTCATATAGATAGCTGGATATATTACAAGAACTGATATTCAACCTAGGGAATATGAAACCCATTTTTATTATGAAGAAGTGGAAAATAAACCAATTCAATTGACTGTGGAAAACTAAAGGTTTTTTCTAAACACACTTGCCAATGATTAATTTTTTTTTTCATCCTTTTCCATACAATAAAGTAAAAGGGTTCAGTAAGACATGTAATGTGAATGTTTCTGTTTCAACATTATGTGGATCATATCTTTTACCAGAAATCTTAACTATCTCTTTGTTTTGTTTAATACTTATCAGTGCCCACAAAAAAGATACATATTTTCATTTATTTAACTTTCAACACATACAATTATCCTCAGGTATGGGTCAAAATGGTATTCTAAGTATTTTTAAAAATAATTAACTTAATTTTCTTCATAAATTTCTGAAAATCAAACATTTTTTTCTAGTTCTAGCTCTCAGTTGTGACATGAGTAGGCCTGAGTATAGTGTGCCTGTAGTGAAAGAGATAATCAGCTACCTCAAAAAAGAGTTGTGTTTTGTATGCGATCTGCTGAAGAAAAATTACCAAAAAGTAGTTAGAAAAAAAAAAAAAAAAAATCTAGTTTAAGGGCGAGAATCTATGCTAATGTTCTTCCCTCCCCTGAATGGCATGACCAATCAGAAAGATCTCTCGGTGAACAAAAGCCATTGTTCTTCGCTTATAAAGGAGGAGATTTTCTGAGCTCAAGGGACAAACATGCGTTTTTGCTGGTGAGAAGTGAAGGTTGGACGTGTGCCTCCATTTTGTCATTTCTACGCTGTTTGTTGGACTGTTATGACGGGCTATTGTGTGAACTGTGATTTGGCTACAAGTGTTGTGGTCAAGAGACAGAAGAAATCTATTGCAGATGTTTGTTGCTACTATAAGTTGACAGTCTTTTCTTTTCTTTAAAACCACAGTGCCATATATGCAAGCTAACTTTTTTGAACAGAGAGTTAAGCCAATGAAACTACAAAGTAGCAATTTGTGTTTCTGATATGAACCCCTCAATTCTGACACTAAGATCAGCAGACCCTGCCAATGCACTGCTTGATGATTTTTTTTTTTTTTTTTTTTTTTTTTTTTTTTTTTTAACTACCAGAGAGAAAAAAAAAACATTATAGAGGTGGGATAAGGTGGGTGTATCTCTTGTCTATTGTTTATGAGTAAATGAAATAAGCTGCGTTAGGAAGAGTAAAATGTGATTTGGTTGTAATTCTATTGAAAATCACTTACTTTTTCCAGCCATTTGGTATGCTTTCCCAGCAGCATTAAAGGCAGCAATACAACGAAAGAATGCCCTCAACAAACCCCAACGTAAAATAGCCACTGGATCAACACCTGCAAGAGAAAAACAGCAAAGATTTAGCTGAAAAATGTCTGCTTTATTTACACTAAAAACAACAAAGACAATGCTACTTACCTAGCAGTTCCTTCACAAAAGCTGAGCTACTGTTTTTGAGAACTCCAACTATGTCAGTACGGATGAGATCAGAATTCTTCTCTCGGAAATCCTATAAATGAGAAAATATTGAGGTCTGAAATGCTTTAAATTACAAACCACAGTGGAAATTTTCGGCACTTAATTATTTGATACATATGCCTTTAAAGCTTGAATAGATGCAGATCATTATGATTAAAAACAACTTTTTTATCATAGAGTGAAGGCTATCATAATGTTTGTTGGCAAATATAACAATTCCAGTAAAACACTGAATTGCTACAAAGAAATATCATGCTCTATGGAAAATTTCTACTTTGACAGGTTTTGCTGATTAAATTTATTCCAAAAGCAACTAATTTCTTTAAAAAAAATCTTACTTCTCATCAATAGTAGAAGGCTTTTAATAAATAGAACATGGACACACAAACACACACATATAAAGTAAATAAAATAGAACCTATTTTAAATTTTTTAATTAGTTACAACCTGTACTAGCATTAAAAACAAATAAACTTTGGAAATCCTGAAAAAAAAAATTTCTCTGTTAAAATTAATTTAACTAATTTAGTTATTTATTCCTTTAAGTATAAATAAGTATAAATTAGTTAATGTTTAATATAATTTTTATAAAATGTTTTTGTAAAAATATATTATAAAAGTGTTAATTTTCTGCCCATCACACATTGTCTACATGTAATTTCATATGCACATAATGTAGGTGGGCATGTATTGTGGATGATTGTCTTACATGTTTGTGCCAATGTAAACATAAGCATATGTGTATATACACCCAATTTGACAGAGTTTGAAAGAGGACATTGGAATAATACATTACCTTCTTACTGAATCTGAATAATGCCTACCTTGAGCTGAGCAACAAAAGTTGGAGACAAGAAAAAAAAGCTTAAAAGCTTCATGTCTGTCAAATGAAAATTGCTTACATGTGTATGGTTGTAAAAACAAAAAAGAAATATAATAATCAGCTTTTTTTCTCTTCTTTTCTACAGTGAGAGTATCTTATTGACAAATATTACATTCTATTTCTATCTATTTGCATCTACCACACATTAGTATTCACATCGACTACATATCTACATCAGTTCTTTTAGTGTTCTCTATCTCTCTTTAATGTTTTTTATTTTTTTCATATTCTTTCACATTCAGTAACACCTTGCATATTAGTAGCTTTATTGCTTGGGGTAAAATGATTTATAAAAAGAAAAAAAAAATTAAAAAGTTTATTCATATCTATTTATTGGTACCTATAACCTAGCAACAAAGTAAATGTTCATCTTATTACTTATGACAATAAAGTGAATTTAGATTAACCTCTTTAAAAAATTAATACTCATAAAAATGAATTTGGGCAAAAATGACAAAAGCAGAATGAGAGGAAAAAAATAATGGCACTACTCATTTCTTGCTAATTATTTAAACCCCAGAAAAAAATCAGATACTTATAAGCTTTTATTGAAGTTTGTGGAAATTAATTTAAATTAAGAATTTAAACCATCTTGCTGTCAGCAGAGTGGCATGATAATTTTTAAATTGTTAAAAATGTTCCAATTAATGTGATTATACAACATTCACTTTTAATTATGTTTTTAAAACAAGGTATCAAAGAAATTCAAAAGGACATCTATCTACAAACAGCATGACAAAATGACAAATTATTATTTTTGTACAAAGAAGAGACTCAGAATTTTTAACACTATAAAACTTAACTCATAAAAAACAAAAACAACCTTTTTGAAATAAAATTATTAGATCATTATGTTTGTTGCTGGTAGCATGTAACCTAGGGCTATCTGGTGCATGGTCAGGTCATCAGTGACTAAACCTGCTCCCCCACCAGGCTTTTCTGATAAGGAGAGTGGCTAAAACTCAACAGGATTAAAAATAAAACCTGTTAAAGGGTAGATGAACCTTCTTCTAGAGTTAACAGCCATCTAGCACAATGGGGAAGACTGAGCTCCATAACTATGTATGCAGCCATCATATTGATGACATGATATCACTAGGCAATAGGCTTCCTAGTATGAAGCCAATGGCCAGAGCAGAAAGTTCCCCCCAATGAAATCAACAACCATGTGTCCATGATCAAAGTGTGCCTTGGAGGACATCAGTTGTGGTTTGACTTTAACCAATGTCAGACTAAAAAATTGATACTTCTACAAGGCATTAGGGGATGATAATATGTTGAATAAATGTCAAGAAATGATGGGAATATGTAAACAAAAGGAACAAAAAAAATCCTGATAAGAAACAAGATAAACGGATAACAATTTTATAATGGATTCAACCTCCACTTTTAAGTTATGTATTCTTATTGGCAGAATTGTAAAGCAGTCTGTAGAAAAAAAAAACTTTGGTAAAGACTATATTGCCATTATTTTCCCATTCCCTAATAAATAGCACCCTCACTCTGAATGGTTCCTCCTTCCTTCACCACCTGATGATTATACCAAAATACATGAAACTAAAAGTAGTAGAGGAGTAAGAGTGCAGAAATAGATTTTTACAAAAACCTTTACTAACCACTGTGCTGTATTTCACTTTCCCAGCATAATGGACAACCACGAAGACACCTTCACGCAACTGAGGCACCTCATAGTAAGGATTGCCCTTGTGATGACGATTAAATTTTGACAACAAAGTGTCATTACTAGCACCAGGGAAACTGGAAAAGAAAAAATAAATAAATGAAAGTGTATGTAAAACAGGAAAAAATGCCTAAAGTAAATCCTTAGTCTGAATAATTTACATCTTAATAGGAATCTGCATAAAATAATAATTTTAAATCAATATTCATGACTAATAAGCAGGAAGGTTGCTTTTTAAGCATACTACCAAATGCTGTGATGTGATGAACCAATCAATTTCCATGTTAAAAAGATTCATCTGGACAAAATTTAAAATGAATATTTTGCATTTTAAATTCTGTTAATAAATACTTAACTTTATACCTAACTGAAGAAAGTATGAATTTTTATGGTAATAAATTACATGAAAATGATTGATCTCCATTAATAATGATACTCCTTAATTGAACATGACACATACTTGCACTCTTCATCCAGCAGACAAAATAGACCATTGGGCTTTTTGGAGAAGAGCTCAAGACAACCAGTATTATCAATAAATTCAATGTTCTTCCATTGAATACCTTCTCGTTGGTACTCTTCCTACAAAATAAAAATGGTACAAATTTATGTACAGTGTGGAAAACAATTTTTTTTTTCCATTTAAGACTATTAACTTACAAATAAATTTTAATTAACTTATAAATATTTTTTATAATACACAAAAAAAAAATGTGAATATTTACAAAAACTTGTAAATACAATAAAGAATTGATAATTATACTAAATTTATTACAATAAAATTAATTAGGCTTGATTAGAGAGTATTAATTTTGTTTGTAAGTTATTAACCTGTTCCAACTTGAAGATGTGTTGATTGAAATAGTACTGGAGGTGTTCATTAGCATAATTGATGCAGAACTGCTCAAAACTGTTCTTGTGAAAATCTTCAAAACCAAAAATGTCCAGAACTCCAATAGAATTCCCCTGTAAATACAAATGACAATAAAGAAAATAAAATAATCACATTCCAGAAAACATTGAAATAAAAATTTTGTGATTGAACAACTAAATAAACAAGTATGTCTTTTGAAAAGTAAATATCAGAAAGAAAAAAAATAAGTACAAACTTACACAAAATATTACTTACATTCAGACTATTGTCCTAATCTTTATTGTTATTATCACAAGATTTTGGCCTTCAAGTGTATGTGAATCCAAGAAAATGACAGTGAATTTTCAAACTGAACCCTTTATTTATGGAGGTAGATTGTTCATGTTTCACTACCTATATCTACAAACACCTGATGAAGACTGGAGGGTACAATGGCTGAAATGTTATGATAACAACAATGATGATGAGGACAATAGTCTGTGTAAATAACTCCTCATCCCAGAAATTCAAGCAGAAATTACAAAAATCAGTTTTTACAGAGTGCTAAAATTTGTATCATGAAAGAGCATGTTTCCTTGGAAAGATATCTCAAATATTATTTCACAAACAGAAGCATTATTTCTTCTAGTTCAAATGTCAAGAGAGATAACAAGATAAAAAAAAGAAAAAGCTGTGGATAAATGTTTTAGGACTTTAACATAAGTTGATATGTGTTCCATTTCTTTTGACTTTTTAAAAAAAAAAGAAAAAAGAAAAGGAAAAAAGCTCACAACATATATGTAAGTGCAAGCTAAAACACAAAGGATACTTTCTTACTCTTCTTACTCTCAAAGCTACCATCACCACTAGAGTATGTGTTACATAATAATAGTTGGTCAAATCTGAAGTTAGAAATGATGGCACTTGATAGAAAGAAGAAAAAAAAACAAACTAAACAGTACTAGTGATGAGAAGAGAAAAATACAAAGTAATACTTGGCACAAATAAGAATATCAAAAATCACAAACCAGCGTGTATTCAATCTTTAAGTTGGAAACATAATATGAATCTACTTAAATAAATTTGTATCAAAGAATATCATTAAATAAGCCTATATAAAAGCCCCATTTTCTCAAATGTCTTTCAAAATTTTTCAAATGTTTGTAAAATTCATCAACACAAAGAAAAATTTCATAAAAATAAATTCTCACATAAAAAATGAAAAAATTGACAATATTTTATCAGTGAAATATGAGTATTATTACTATTAACATTTCTAGTGCGTGTCAGACTAAAAAAAACAGTGAAATGAAAAATATCACTATCAGAATTCCCACAGATAACAGTAGAGAATATAAGACACAAGTAGCAGCAGAGTATTTGACAATCATATATATATATATATATATATATATATATATATATATATAAATAAATAAATAAAAAATAGTAATCAGCCCATCCAGAGAAATGCTTTGTAAATGATCTCAGGGATATGTGATTGGTGTAATGGATAGGAGCTCAGAATGAGAAATCAGAGAGCTAAGTTTGTTAAATTCACTTAGGCACCAATACCCTTGGGAAAGGTAGGAATCTATCTCTTCTCACACCCCCAGCAATGGTAGGACTTGGATCTGGAAAAATTACTGTCATCTCCAAGAAATTAATACAATATTTACTTGTAAAACAAAGTATTATTCTTACAATTCAAAATATGTTTTCAACTTTAAATAAACCACAAAGGGTTGATAATCCACAAAAAAAAAAACATATCAATTGATTGTAAATAAACTATAAACTCATTCTTGTGTCTAAGATTTCATATGCAACAAAATTTTTGTGTAAATTTTACAAAACATCTTTTTCTATGATTTTTAGCTACCATCATAAATTTCAAATTGTCATTCATATACCCAAATTTTCTAAGCAATACAACAGTCACCAATAACATTAAAATAAAATCATGAGCACAAATAGCTTTGAGGTCTGATTGCTGAGGAACAAGAATTCTTCAAGAAGATGGTAGAATATCAAAGTGCTCTAAAGATACAATGGATGGTGCCGACTTTAGCCATTTTAAAAATGTCTAATATCACTAGAGAATCAATCCTAAAGGATACTCTGATATATTTTAATGAGGGGAGCTGTTGCAGTTATCTGTAACAAGCTGACCTCCAAACAATAGAAAACACAAACCCTAAAATGGTCCAATATGAAAGTGTATATTATATTCTCTTTGAGATTCATCTGAAAGAGAAAATCAATGCTAAAACTGATTTCAAGAAAAGTAAATACATTCAAGTAAAAAAGAGGGAATAAAAAATGTCAAGATACAAATTCTAACTGAAAAGGATAACCAAAAAAAATAAGAGCAACTTTCATTAAAAAAGCAATATGGCTAGATTATGGCAGAGAGAAAACCTTCAAAAGTAGAAAACAACAATAAGAAAAACATCTGAGGTTAGCTATTCCAATTTTAGGAAAGCTTAATCAAAACGCTCCTAAGAAATTCTATGTACTCAAATAAAATACAGCCATAGTTAGCATCAGTTAACTTCATAAATTTAAAAGAAACAACAAAAGAATGACTGCCAAGAACTTGAAACACAAAAAAAAAAAAAAAATCAAATAACTTTTTTACTGTCCAGTTCCAAGATTTAAAACTTTCCATATAGTGATATTTAATTTTATCAGAATCTAAGTCAATACTGCTAATAAAAACAATAGAACCCATTTAAAACAATCTTTATTTGAATAAGTGTAACAGAGTTAATGTTATTGTTTTTTTTAGTAAGTGAATCTATAACTGGTAACTGGTTGAAATAGGAATTGCTGTGATTATAATTAACAAAGGTCAATTACAAGTGGTAGGTAGGGATGAATGGAACTGTTACTACAATGGATTTTACATGTCTACAGGGACCCACAAATAGTAGTAGTTGGCAGTCATCCACAGGTACACAAGAGTCAATTAGTTGACATCACCACTCCTCTACAACATCTACTCCACCAATCCTTGAAAGAAGAGGGATTCAGTTATATAAGGATCAAAGGGAAAATAAGGTTCAAATATTCTTCATCCCAGAAATTCAAAACAGAAAGTTCAAGTTAGATAGGGATTATAAATCACCAATTAAATCTTGACTGTAATTATTTCTTATGGAGGAAAAAAAAAAAAAGGTCACTAATCATCATGCAAAATACAGAGGGGTGAGGGAATAAAAGGGTCAATGAAAGATTACCAATGACACACAAGCTTTCAATTTGAGAAAATTTATTTCTTCTACATTTCTTTGTGTATGTTAATGTATGTTTTATAGCTTACATTTCTTCAGTTATGCTTTTCATGAAGATCTTCAGATTATTTAAATCTATTACTTTCTAGAAAATAAACAAACTGAAATTTTCAAGATAAAAATATTTCCAACAAATAAACATTCATTATCACTTCTGTGTTATACTTTTGAAAAATATTAAGCCATATTAATTGAATCAAATAGTATTTGGTAACCTTTAAGTATTTAACTAAATTCATCTGAATGAACAGAAGGAAACTAATTGAAGTAATGGTGAATATTAATGAATTCTATTAAGTACCAGAATATTGGATTACTTGATAAGTCAATAAGGATCAATTTGGAGAATTCAAATGCAGTTTTCATACTATTTGTTTATTCTTAAAATTCTTTTAAGATTATCAAAAAATAAAAAATATAACTTAGGTAGCAAACATCCAAAAATTCATGAACTTTATAAAATTTACATTCTGAAACTGAGGAGTTTCTTCCAGACACAACTGGAATGCTGATATTTAAATTAATCATTCTACCTATCATCTAATGAAGTCAAGGATGTGTTAAGATGGAGTTCTATTTGAGTAACAGCATAACAATTTAAATAAACATTCCAGAAGCTTATTTTCTTTGTCCAATTTTTTAAAATTCAAATTGATTTTGTAAAATACTTTAAATTTCATAAGAGAAGAGTGCTTAAGCAATCAAGTCATATCCTTAGATATTAGGAAAACACTGAAAGAAAAGGAAAAGTTAACTTTAAATTGATAATTTCATCATTAACAAAATTCAGAGATACATAGAGCACAATAACTACACTGAACAAAATAAAATAAATATAGAAATACTAAACTTTTTGGACTGACAGAAACAAACAGACAAAACCTCTTTGAAATTGATCAGGAAAAAAGAAAATAGTAGTTATGTCAATTTGGTCAAGTTTTTTTTATTGCTTTTTTTGTTTTTAACAATACACATATAAAATATCCTGTTTAAGCCTAGTGCAAAAATGGTTTCATAATGAAACTTTTAGGAAACATTTAACCATTTTGTGTGGTTAGATTATTTTAGCATGAGAAACACAAACCATTTATGATGTAAATTGTTATCAATTTTACAAAAGAAATTTAACATGAAAAATTGTTAAAATATATCTTGCAAGGCTAAAGATTCAAGACTGAAAAGGTTTTTCTGACAGCACTGAAGAGTTTTCTATTTAATCATTATAAACGTTAGAAGAAATTTGAATAGAGTCAAAATATTACTTAAGATTATTTTGCACTAAGCAATTCAAGTAGAAATCTTTGAAACATTAAGGACTCACAAATTACTTTTCATAAATTCCAATAACCTGACCAGTTTCAAGTTGATGCCCTTTCAACATATTTCAAAAACAATAAATAATAGATGAGTTGTAATTTTTAAATCAACAAAATCAAAAAAAAAAAAAAAAGAAAAAAAAAGAGGATTGTGAAATCATCTGGGTCTCTGTGGCATATCAAGATTTTAGAAGGGTTTATCTGCTCACTTTCAAATGCTTTAGAAAAGGCAGTTTTCAAACAGATATTTTTTTTCAAAATTTTTAAGAAAAAAGAAAATTTGAATTAGTTTAAAACTAGAACTTTTTTGCTTAATGCATGTGAGGGGAAGTTGGCAAGATGTGTGATAATAAAAAATAATGCAGCTATCAGTGAGTAATTCTAAGAGGGCTTAGACAAGCAAAAGCTGTTAATGGATGATCAACAAGCAAAAAAATGTCAAGAGCAGAATGGCCGCAAACAAGTCGGATTCATTATTACTCTGCTCAGGTTAAAATAGAA